AAAACAAAACAAGAATATGAGACACCAGTGTCATATCATTAGACCCCAACTTTGTAATTTATTCGAACAAAGAAATGTTTATCTCAAGTTTCTGATTAAATGGTATGTCCCTAACATACTTTAGTGTCGAGATAATCATTTAAATTGAAATTTAGGTGAATTTAATGATATCTCGATGAAACAAGAACCTACAGGAATGTCGTGAGGTGGTACTGCGTAAAGGTGTGTTTTACATAGTTGATCAGTAAGCTAGAAAACAGGTATATTCAAACGTATAAGAGAGTGAACGATAAATAATAAGAAATGTATAAACTAATAAACTGCATTGCACTTTCGTTTAGATGATCACTTAGGAATTGATTCTACTCTATGTTGACTGAAAGATTTGATTAAAAGAAGGCAAATCTAAAAGCTTTCATAATATAAACAGGAGTATTTGAACAACACAAAACATGGTATAAAGTGGATGCCTCTTTCACAAATGTACCCACAACAGTAAATACTACATCTCTTACATCAACTACAGTCAAGAAACCAACTGTAAAAGTGAAAATACTGAATGAGGGAAACTTTACGTACAATATCTAGGAAACACGTCATTAAAGTTATGGTGGGATTGAAAAAAGTATAAACATAAAACCAAATGATAAGCAACTATACTGAACGTCAATGAAACACAAGGTGATAGACTTTGCAAAGCATCTAAGTGGAGCGGTATCGATGGGGTCTAGTATTCAGCACAATTGAAAATACATCGGTAAAAAATGACTCAATAAATTCTTTAAAAACTGATGTACATTCCATAAATATTTTTGACGTTATTATTAGTGTACGCCTAAAAGTGAAAACTAAGACTTCCAGCATTTTCACACTGAATTAATTCTTATGATTCATTAGTACTGCACATTTTCCTAGATCAAATGTAATGATCCTTGAAGCTAAGACTGAGTGCTGATAACTTACTGACGATCGGTTCATGTATATTCACTTGTAACTCATTTCCAGAAATAGAATATTTAGTGCTAAAAAGCTGTAAACTGTGGTAACGAAATTGTAGATTCTACTATAAATTAAAAACAAATTTTTAGACAAGTTTATATCGATTATGCCTTCACTGATCAATAGATTCCATAAATCAAGTAGCACATTTTATCGAAGCAAATTAAAAATGCGCGATTCAAAGTAGTTTTATGAAGTTAAGTCAAGTTTTTCCATATGACCATTCAACGGAATATTATAAAGGAATCATTTCTATAAGTTTCTCCAATAGGCAGTGAGGCAAAATGTTTGCGTACAATTTGACTGAACATACATTACATTGTTAAAATTTGACAACAATAATGTACAATCGAATATTTTTAAGTGACTTCTCCATAATCTGTTTTAATAACTAAACGTCTGTTTAACTGATATATCTTGAAAAAAATATTTCACCTGAAAATTCTCTCATTTTCACCCCTCAATTTCATAAGCTTTCACATCTGAACGGTTTTATAATTTCTATGTATTTAATACAATTGGCTATAGTACCAGCAAAATCTTTTTGCTCTATACGAAACCAATGCAAAGACATACGATAAAGTTTAAAGTCGTATATTAGTATTTTTCTAAACCGCCAAAATGAATCGTTCAATATTTAAAACATTACGAAGGTGACCTTGACAGCCAATTAAAACAAGCTAGAGTACAACTGAATAATCAGGAACCATCACTTTTGTGTGTGCTCATATGTACGATATGAAAAAGTATTCTTTTTCATTGTTAATCTGACAAAGTGATTTATATCAAGTGAAGTATTCTGAGATTTGGCATAGTTAATATCATTTTAGTAGTATCTTGAAGACGGATAATAGGGAAAAAATTCGTTCATTTATCCACACACCAGTAAAATACATCTGTTTAAATTAATTACGAGTTTAGTACCCTCTACTTAACTGATGTTTTTTTGCAAACAATCTACGTATGTCTTCAGTTCTTTTTGAGTTTTCTTTATGATTAATTTCGTTGATAACAGAAGAAGAAGTGATATATCTCAAAGTAAAAAGAAACATTCAAAATGTTTGGGAATATTACTAACTTTTTAACTGTTAGTAATAAAAGCAATTAACAGAGAGATATTAGGTACTAAAAGTACAAATTAAAATGTAAGGTCGTCTCGAAATATTGATTAGCATGACTAAATAATAAAATTTAATTGATTTCCACTTCATTTTTTTTGGGAATTAATGATTACTTAGTTGACAGTTTTCTGATCCCATGAAAGAGTGAACAATTTAAAAATCACGTAAATATTTTTTACATATTTGAACTTTTACTCATATCAGCCAAAAACTCCCTCTTAAAACATGGTAGTCCCTTGAAAACATCCATGTCACATTGCACATTAGATATTCTTTGATTAGTAAGCAATGATAAATTTCCTAAATCTCAAGGCTGATCAAATCCCCTTGTTTGAAATTGCAGTTTCAAGCTATTCGACTATAGGTCTTTGAAGATCTACTTATCTCAAAGAATCTGAGCATACATAGATATTAAAACTTAACAAACTTACTACTTTCTTTTGATCATTTCTTACAGACGAACCTATCAAGTAAGCGTTCAACAAATAATATACACATCCTTCATAAATTAACTGAAAGTGTGTGATGAATTGAACAGAAAATATGTAGACAAGTGTATCTAAGTGGAAATGATTCTAACCAAATATCGGTATAAATTGATAAGTAATTGTGAACTGTTAAATTATTCGCTATTATCTAAAACTGAGTAAAAAGTGACCACCTACCAAACTGTTATGAAATGTCATTGAAATCACGAACTAATCAAAGTTAGACAACATAGAGGCAATGGACGGCCATTTCACGCGCGAACGCTTAAACTCTAGGCCGATAAGCTAAGATCCATTGATGTACAAGACTAATTTCTACAATTTATGCTCCACATAAACACTAACTAAATATCAGGTGTAACAATGAAAATGTTAGGTTGGGTATTGCATGCCACTAAAGAATTATAATAAAAACTAGTGACTAGGCATACCTGCCTTGAAATGGGAAACCTAACAAAATTTAGGATGAAAGTATTGGATTTGTACTACATTTCCCATACTAAGTGAATAAGAGGATATTCGATATCCTTAATTAATGTCGTCAAAGCCAATACAATTTATCAGGATCTCGATGGAAACGTTTACTAAAGTTTGTTACATGGCTCACGGTTTCTCTAATCTGTATATAGTCTTTAATTAGACCCAACACCAGTAAGAGCATAACTGAAAACTATAGAGTACTGGATAGTTATTTGATACCAGCCTGAGACCTTATAGCAGTATGCGTTAGTGATCGTATTACAAGATAAAAAACGATCTTCATACGTACTGAGATTGTGAACCATATGAATTTACTCATGTTCGTGGATGCAGAAGATTAAGCCGACTAAAGTGAAGCAACAATAAGACTTTGGTTTAATCAACTGATAGAAAGGACCACAATTTTCGAGAACAATATCAAACACCAGTTAGTAAAACTAATTCCTTTACCTACAAATTCAAAAAAACTGGGTAATTTATTATTCACTTTTTAGTATTAACACGCCCAAATTAACAAAAGAAAACACTGAATAAAATCACTTCACGTTGTTTGAGCAATGAATGAACTCATATTTGCTAAATGTCCTCGTTGTATCAGGATGAAAAGCTTACACATATAGTAAACCGAAGTATTATAAAGTATAAGGTAATGTTTAAGAAAACTTCTCTATCCAATACAGTGGGAATGTTCCGTCGAAAATGCGACACAAATATAAAAGATAAAATATGTAGATTTATACAAATTTTCTATTGTAAACACAATCACGTGTTTCCGTGATTGAATCATGTAGGTGTAGCGAAATTTGCACTATAAAATAGAGATGAAAGCTTTAAGGCACATGGTTTCAGCAATAGGTAACATCACAAGACGATTAATGCTGCTTTTATCTTATACAATTACACAATGGGCTATCCCAATGAATTGTTAATTAGACCAGTGAGTGTATTTATTGTATATAAAGAAAATAAAATATGAATGCAAATAATTGACAAATTGTATAACCAGTGCTAGAACATTATTTTCATTTGTCGTTCCCGTTTATTGCACTGAGAAGCAATTATTATTACTACACTTGAAAATAATATATTTGTCACCAACTGATATTATTAAGAGAACTAATTAAAATAGATTCCTTTAACCTAATTCATTCTTTATACAATTGTATGAAGACCTTATGATATCATGGGTTGACTAAAATTAGAAATGTGGGACAGTCGATAGATTCAACTATATCGTACCGTGAGACCTGAATTTTTCGGGCTTTATTCCGTATTGAATGGAAGTAATCACTAATAACTAAGGCCAAACACTTGTTGCTGGCTTTTATTTACTCTTCGGATGTCATGAACCTCTAGTGGAAACTATCTTCAGAGTATACAAAATCTTCACAAGTTCATCTAAAGACAACATATATCTACTACACCAATAACAAAAGTTCCGCAACAACCTGAGCATTCACGCGGACTACGTTGACCGATTCATATAGAGTATGGATATAGGTTTGTGTTAATTTTGTAGAAACACCTTACTTGTTGATAATGCAAAGTTTATATCTAACTACACATCAAAATACCGTTTTAATGGATCGAATATGCTACAAATACCTTGTTCTAGTAACTGGAATTGAGATTCACCACAGCATAAAGGTGAAGATTTACTCGGTCAAATACAAAAGCTATTTTTTTAAATGAGAAAACAAGACATATCAGTGCTATATATTTACAAAAGTACAATTTAAACAAATATAAATGTGCGTAAACGAAAGAAAAAATAGAACAACAACACTTAACAACACTCAATCACACAAATTCTCTCTTGTAGTCTTATATACGAATTTATATACATCAATATAGGGGATAGCAAATAGTAAAGCTAGCCACAGCCAAGAAGAGCAGCCAAAATATAAATGAACTTACATAACAAGTGAAAAAAACATGGAGAGAGAGAAAGAATACGGATAAACACTTGAATTGGGATATCAGCTGTTAAAAAACAAGAAAATAGTATATATATATAATTAAAGATACAGTGTCAAAATAAGATAAACATTATTAGTTGTTAGGTGATACACACATATATTTTAAATGAACTCTCTTTTCAAGTGTCATTTTGTTAAGATTTGAAAGAAAAAAGTACAAAACATGTTACATTATTATGAAAGAAAAATGTTTCAATTATAGTTTACGATGCATAACAAATACTATTACTTAAGAATTAATCGAATTTTTTTCAGATAACATCATTGATCTACATAGACATAATGTATTGTTAAAAGGATACAGGTGAAATTATATTTGATGCTTGTGCACGAACTCGTCGTTCTAACGATTTTTCATCCATGTAATAGAAATTATCTTCTGTTATTTTTGAATGGAAATTAGTGCACAAATTGTAGAAACGTTCTAATAAATTACAACTTTTGATATCTTGAGATATTGATACAGTACCTGACAGATTGTTAGTATTATTATTATTATCATTACTACTGATGATATTCTTTGACTTTAGACACAACTTATAATTGTTATTATGAGATTGAGGTTGATTCAAGGAAACTGTTGAAGTATCACCAACCTTATTAGATTTTAAACCTGCATAAACATTAGTCAAACCAAGTTTATGGTGACATTTACCATGGTGATGATGGTTGACATGATGAACATATGCTGACTTTAACTTTGAATGTCCATCTAGGAAGTGATAATTTTGGGAAAAATTAAGAGAAAATACATATAGCATATAATTAACACTTATGCTTAGAAAAAAATAATTGGTGAAAATATCTTTGAAAATGTATACAAATGATATATTTATTGGATTGTTTTACTCATACCAAGGTGGTTAGGCTATCTTTTCTCTTTGAAACAAGTGAGAAAAAACATAATAATAAGGAAATTATAAAGAATGGGATGGCCGAAGTAAATGATTAGAAAATTGGAGTATTCAAATAAACAATGATAGAATGACCAGTAATATAATAAAATTCACTAATATTTACTTTCATAATATGAAATTTAGATGTAGACTCCATGATTTACATCAGTACTTCAATGAACTCCTTAGCTCTTTAACTATGTATCTACAAAGTAATCAATAAGTTATTATGAATTTTTCTGAAAAGAAACTTTCTACGTTTGTCTCTATTGGATAAATTTTCCGAGACAAATGATGATTTAAATTGTGTTTATAGATTAAGTTGAATATACTGATCTCATAAATTAGTTATTAAAATTATGTGATTTACTATCTATTAGGTAAATTGTTTCATGATTCGTCTCATCCATACATAATTAAACATAAGTTCATTATCGTTTATCTGCTAAAAGTAACAACAAAATTGATTTATGACCTATTTGGAATTTGTCGACAGTTTATCAGAAGAATGTAATGTTAAGAATTTGTTATTAATAGTGGAGATCAAGAAATTACTTTTTAATTGGTAATATGCTTATTGTACTACCATTTTAAACTGATTAGTTCTTTATCCAACATTACTTCTTTTATTGCAATTGCGTCTTCTGAGGTCAGACAACGCAATTCCAATAAAATTATCCTTCTGAGCTACAAATCTTCTCCACCATATCAACATTGCTTCTAAATGACAAACTTTCACCAACAGGAAATTGATGAAAGCCTGTGATTATTATGTCTTGTTTACTAGAGAGTATAGAACAGCCCAAAGTTGTTTGTTACAACAATGGTAGAATTAGTAGGATGAAATTGTGTGAAAGTATCAGCGATGGTAAGAAGACCTTCTTAAGTTACGAATACACCGTCCCGATCATTTGTCCTCCTAAAAAGAGAGAAAATAAAAACCAAACTGCTAATAAACACTGACTCACCCTTATACTCATTACATACTGCAAAAATAGATAATAATTATATTATAATGCTTAAAACACTACCTATAAAAGACCAGTAAGAGATTGAGCGACATAAGAAGAAATACAATAACGCTTAAATAACTCATTTTCAGCACTGATACTAATCAACAGTGAGCACTGAATACGACAAAAAATATAATGTCAATTTATAGAAGTTAATAAACGAAACCATTTTGAATGCATTAAGTTATTTTAAGACCGTAAGAATACTAGTTACGAGACTTGTATTTCAACCACTGAAATTAAAATTCACACAATCTCCTCCACTAGATAGAATCATTCATTAATGAACATGCGGAAGATATAGCCCATAGCCGAGTAGATATTAACCCATAATTGGTTATTGAATTACATTAACTAACTATTATATTGATACGGCTGTTTTCCATAGGTTCACCGTTAATATATATGATATTCTTGAGAGTAATATTAAGAACGTTGCTTCACAGATATTGATAATCAGATAACTAAAATTCCTAAAGCTCGTTACAAATTTAATGAAGATTCTATACAATTACTGATAAAACATGAGCACACTAGAATGTAAAATCTTAAGTTGAAATTCTATAAATTAACCATGACGTTAATGATCATGATAAGGTTAGTTTAAAAAGAACTATTACACATTAATAAATATCCCATAATAGTTGATCGAAATTTTAAGAAAGGTAATATTAAAATGTATGTGGACATACATTTACCTGAAAGTAAAGAGATTTGACTAGATTGATGCTGATTATATTTTACAGTTGGCCAATGATTATTTATCATATGAGACTTCTTCAATTTTTTAGCTGCTTCAATAAGATAATTATCTGAGTAATAACCATTTGAAACATCATCTAATATACTTGAAGACTCAGTACAACTTGAATAGTTTACATCTGTATTATATGCACTTCCATCAGTATGATGACATTTTAAGTGATAAATTTTAAAATTCTCATTTAATGAAGATAATCTTGTTAAATTCGATGACTTGATTTCATTAGTTGTTGTATTCATACTAATAAAATGTCTAGTAGGCATAACCATAGAAGCTAATGAATGTAATACAGTTTGTAAGCATCCAGGTAGACCAATCAAATTTGGATATATATTGTTATGAAAGTCAAGTTGTTCATCATCTGAATTTAAATTACTTTCTGTTGTTTCTGTAGATGAGCATAAAGAGACCTGATAATTAAAAAAAGCATTGAAAAACATAATAATACTGAATAAACTCTGACAACAATCACTAGTTTGTTAAAAGTAAGTAGAAACTTTGAATTTAAACTTTTCAAACATTTACTGTAAATTCGGTTATTAATTGAGAAAAGATTATAAATCAAAGTCAAGTGGAGTGAATATTTTGTTCTTACTGTGTTACAAAAGATGTAAGACGTAAAATACGATAGTTAATATGCACGACCTGTAAGAGATTAGTTGGAGAGTTCCCTGTACATATTCACGGTTTAATTGCACATTCCAAGTGATTTCGTGTCATTCTTCCAGTTTAGTATCATCCAATCACGAATTAATCCTACAATAATACTGGTTATCGAACTGTAACTAACACTGAAAAATTGAAAGTTAATCGGAAGACAAAAAATAAAAGCACTTTCGCATGATCACTTCTACGATAAAAATATATAACCTACATTAACAAGTTTAGTGTACTCCATCAAACAAACGATTGATTTGATTAAAATGATTAAACCTAGAATACTACAAATCAGTATAATAAGTGACTGAACATTATACACAGTATATCAAGAAATCAATGAAATGTAACAAAAGTAAATTGTTAAGTTGCAACTACAAGAATCCTCTAAAATCCACTACAAATGGTTATTGAAACCAGGTGATAAAAACAAAAGAATCATGAGAAATAATTATAGATATTATGAATTAGATATAAAATCAAGGTTGTAAATGTCAATCATACATAAACATAAAAATCTCTTAATATATTGTTATTGAAGTACAGTACAGGTTTAGATTGCCGATCAATAAACGGAATTAATAAATGGTAGCAGACATGAAACTTAGTCTCACAATATTTTAGCAACTTCCACAAACTAACCTATACCAATTAAAACATACTACAATACTGAGACATATTTTGACGTTTTCAAAGAATTTCTTGGTAGAAGAAATCCAATCTATTCCGAAGATTAAAATGTTACATAAGCTACCGTTTACTGATCAATTTGTGTGAATATATGATCTCACCCTATAAATATAACCTTGATCATAAATTATGTTAAAGTTTTGGTTATATAAACAACATTACTAGCTATCGTCCTTTAGAGCGATAAAACAAATAAATTCAAAATGATAAAGGGAACTATGTGTATGAGAATTCAATTACCTTGGATAGATATAATTTGATCAAAGTTGAGGATAAGGGTGATGAAGGAAATAGATATTCCTTATCTTTTAAGGAGGGTGAGTTTGTAGAACCTAGTGAATTATTATGCATTTTAGATAATTGTACGGCGTCAAGTTGGGCATTGGCGGAATTTGATTCAGTAAATGATACACCGAAAATAAACGGATCCAAAGCAGGTTGAGAATGCGAATTTGGTTTCGATGAATCATTCATTTCAGTGGATTCGCAGGCACTTTTAAAATGAGAATTAGAGTCTTTCAATGTAAGATAAGGCAGTTCATGAGATGAATTTTGGTAATCTTCCAAAAGCGTGAAAGAAGGACGACGTACCATGCTACCGACGAATAATTTTGATGAATCAATATCATGATTTTCACTTACATTTATACGATTGATTCTGCGGCACTAAGTGTGAAAAAAGCATTAGAACAAGCTAAACAGACAAATAATCTTATAAAAGTTTAAAATATAAAAGGGAGTCGCCTTCCTACTAAGTAGTTATTCAATCAAATCGTTAAAGTAATATACCTACTGTCATATATGTACCTACTGATCCATCTTCTAGTCAAAGAGCAACTGTACTGAGTAGTGCTTGATTCTATGACATTTTATGACAATGGTATATGAAAGTAAATATGCGTAAGTCCCAATAATTTGATTTCGTATAGTGTAACCACGTTAGCTAAGCTAAGTTTAGTCACAGTCTACTAGACTGAATCTGTAAATTGATTAATGACATTGTGAAGCTTAGTGACTGTGTTTAGAACATGGATCATGTGAGCCTAGCCACCACTATGCGTAATAGTACAGGTTTGTTTACTTGGCTATAAGTCACACTCAAGGTGTTATAGCTAGTTATACTACGAAGATGAAAAAACTGAGATAAGTTGAGCAGAGTTCAGACAAAAAACTAAGTGTTTGAAAAAAGGATACTTTAAACATCAGCCTCCAAATGCCCTGGTAAGGTCGAGGGTGGTAAGATTCAGCTCTCCCTCTCGAAAAGCTCTCACATGGCCATGAGTGTACAGACACTGCCAGGAAAGCCCTATTCACTGCGTTCTCGCGGTGCGGGTGTTGTTTACGAAATTGAGAGGACGAAAAGAGAATAACCGGCGCTTTAACCAGGCTGGTGGATATGGATATAATCACTAATATATAATTAAAGTCTGAGAATTCTATAGAGCCAGTTGAAATAAAACGAATAGTTGCCTTTGGATGACTTATTAAACAGAGAAAAACCACAGGGATGTGACATAAAAATGTAGACCGGAGTTAGCAATATTGAGGTTCACTCATGCAATCGTAATGACGAAATATAGTAAGAATGATATACGTCATACAATCAATAAAACCATGTTACCACAGTTACTGAAAAGAGCACTAGTAAATGCACATCACGTTTAAATATTTAATGTCTTACTTCTGTGATATCAGCAAATGAGAGAGTACGCCTTCGACAAACACTTTGATGCTTTGGCATGAGTTAAGTCTGTAAATTGACCTGGGAAAAGAAAAATATTTTGATTCGATTGTGCTTAGAACGTTTGCTGTCTACAACAAGCAATTAAATCCACCTTCCTACATCCCTATACATCAATTCTTTCAAATTTCTTTGATTTTATTTAACTGTGAATTGTTTTACAAAATGCATCATCATTGTCTGCTAGATAATGTTGTGGATAAAACTTTATTCTCTGCAGTTATACTAAGGTAACTAAATAACTTACACATTAGTTTTTTGTAGTCAGCTTATTCTGAAGATTCTATAGTTGCCTAGGTAACTGAAAGACCTTAAAAATTAACACTAGACCTAAAATTTCACTACTTAGCTATGTCTGAATTTTTTGATATAGCAGAAACTTTTGGCTGATGCCAAGATCAAACAATACGCATAATAATTTCCTGCGTACTTAGTTTTTTTATCCAGCAAATTAAGTGGTAAATAAACTTATTCTTCACAAAAATGCCTGATCTGTCGGCACGTCTGAAACCGGGTTTTTTATTAAATGACTTTACCATACAGTTTATATTTCACATGTGATTATTAGTGACAAGGTAACATAGTTAATCAAAAAGAATACGTTAGAAAACGTAGCAAATAGCAAACCTTATAAAAGATTTGTTGAGATCAGACTACCATGATAAGTAAACATATGGGATACCGATTCTTATTGCATAATAACGATAATCAGAAGTAATCTAGCTACCATAATTAAATGAAAATAGTGTGATGATGGTAAAGCATGATTACTTTGAACAATATACTGATCTCAGTTACTACTGAAATGTCCCTACACCCAATAACTTAAAATGACGAATTTTAAACTAATTTGCAAGGGACAGTTAAAAATATAGGGCGACAATTTTCATGAACTATGTGCCATTATCAAATACAAAGTGTATCCTATTATATAGTAGCTGCAATAGTGCGAACTTTAATTATCCGCATGCACTGTAAAGGAATGTTATAGAAAAGTAAATAATCATTAGTTCCATAACTATTTTCAGCACAAAAGACTGAAATAACGAATAAAACCATTGTCATTGAAGAGTAACGATAATTCAGTAGTGATGCTCTTTTCAACGATTTCATTTAGTTAAGTAGAACAACTGTATTGATACCACTGCCTATTGTATACACACACTTTCAAACTGAATCTGGAGATGATTTACAATTTAAAATCCCAAATTCCTACGAACTATTAAGAAATAACTCATTTAATTACTATCTCAATGATTCCATCATATACATTAGCTACATTAAGTGATTCTGTACGCAGATGACATTATAGAACAAAATAATAATATATACAGCATATCAGGATTTAATGCAGTATATTGTTATGAAAAAATATCCCAGTCATTCGCCTCATATAAAAAAACGAATTCATGATCAAGGCTAACAGATAAGGACCCAGATTTCCAGAGAAACGTACATAGCCAGCTGAAAAACGTGACATTTTTCCAACCTCAAATTAGTTAACAGGTAGTTACAACAAATGCTATATTTCAGGAACACGTCACTTTGAGTCTTCCACACCCAATCATATCCGGTACTAGAAGTTCGCTATCATATTTGGAAAGCGCCGAGTAGCTTATAAATCTCTGTAAACTGGATTCCCTTTTTAGGTCTCTCTTTTAAGAAACACATGACAGGTTGAAGTTTCTACATCAACGGGTGAGTTATATTGTCCTTCAGAGTCCCCGAGGCGTTTCAGACGGATGTGGAATGGAGTCTCATCAACACTACGTACTATTTCATTAACACACTGCTTATTTTTAGTCGCTATAATGAGTATAAATGGTGCATAGCAGTTACCATCTGCAATCGATGTTTTAAACAGGTTAAATACAGTGTCCACTAGTTTTCGCGGTCTTAAATTGAGCTTCGAGAAATTTTTCACGTGCGTACTGGTACTCGTGACCCACTAGAAAAGATCAACGAACATAAAGACGTAATAAGCTATGAAAAAACCTTCTGCTCATAACGGAACTGCCTCGTAATTTCGTAAGTGAATTTATTTCATATCCTCATGTCATTCCTTTTTTTAAAACTTATCACTGATCTATGCTTCTCAGTAGATCAATAATTCATGCTAAAACTATCCGTTCGTCATAGGGCTGAAACGGTGACCAAAACCGATTTACTTACAGTAACTTGTTCGGGACAACAAAACTGTTCACCTCTGAAACGTTACAAAAAGAGCAGTAGTTATATACACGTCTGTGCCATCAGTAGGTGATTATAGTATAAACTAAGTCGATTCTTGATTATAAAAAAATCAAATGACATATCAATGATAGACACTGATAGCTCTCAATGAATTATGACCTGAGAACTATTATACATCGTCTTTAATAACTGCGAATATCCTATCTTCATAGGTCACGTTTTTTAGCCATGCAGTAAGACAGTCTTATTGTTATCTATTCATAGACACGTCCACGTTGCCACAGCTACTTAGAAAAAGTTAGAGGAGCTTTCTGTGCAGTTACTAAGACATCGTAGACAAAGAGGAATGACCAATGTACTCCTCTAGCCTTTCACTACGATCTGAAGAGGCGTTGATCCAGATCAGAGCTAATCAATACTTGGACTTATAGAGAGGAGAAGCATATCTCAAACATAAAGTTACTAAAGGTCTCAGGAAGAGTGGGTCTCGTCAGCACTCTTACTAAATAAAAAAATTTCATTTGCAATCCTAAATTCCATAAGCATATCGCCAGTGACGTCAATCCCTGACGTCGCGTGAAGGAAGAATCATCTCAAAGGATTTGTGACAAAGTGTATCAAAATCAGATTTAATCCCAGAACACTACCTGACATTTTCAAGTCATATAGCAGTTTGCCGTAACCCGTAGTTTTAATAAGTGTTGAGAGACGAACTTTCAGGTCTATGTATAATCACAGTACGCTTTCCAGTGATATGCAACCATAAATCATGTAGACCGCTGGATTAGAAAACAACCGTACTGTCAAAAAAAACACAATCATCAATTGGATTCGGTAGGTAATTCTATGTTAGAAAAGCCAACGAACTGAATATTTTTGAGAAATGTGGAAACCGACGGAAGATGAAATTCTACGAAAAAATTATAATTATGCCTATAGGAGTAACACTTGAGTACAAAAGCTTATTCATATTCACAAAAGTATGTATTAAAAGAAACGAGTCATAACTTACGGCTACGAGAAGCAATAGCGATAACATAAGAAACCAAAACTAGAAAAGCCGCTGAGGTCACATTGGTTTCCAATATTCAATTTCATCATTAACTCTGTCGTTCTTGTGTTATAGAAGATCTAGTAATATTTTTAATGCTATTTAGAATGAAATATTCTTAAAAACAGCAATAGTTGTGGCAAGTAGGACGGGTAATTAGATGTTGGGCGAAGAAAAGTAGTTCTGGATATACAAAATTGTTGTAACCAGCTTTTGTCGATTACCTTTGATAGTCATGTCAAATTTAGGAAGATTTGTTGAAATTTCCGAATCAAAATATGTGCACAAACCAGCCTATAAATATAAATAAATGTCCTCTTGATGATTGAGCTGAACTTTTAAAAAATATATTTCATTTGCTCAGTATATCAAGGAGAAATGTGCTCCCTTGCATTCAATGAAGCACTTCTCTGATAAGCATGACGGAAATACGTGAATCAATGATAGAACTGAAGTTGAATTTACACAAATAACTAATTGGTTCGTTAGTGAAATTAAACATAAAACAACTACATCACATATTCCATATTCAGATAATAAAGTTAACCGATATGCACTGAATTATTAAACAGAATAAGAATATAAGGAGGCTGAGTGAAGACAGCTGGATCGAAATGGTATTAGCATTGAATCAATACCGGCATCAGACCTCCTCGCCATTAAGCTCAATTAATATTGACACTGATACTAGAACCGCCAACAATTCTATTGAAAAAACAAATGCAGAAACTGCAACAGATTCGTTACATTTGTATTATACTGAAACGAGTTCAGACTGCCAAGGCGTCGATCAGATAACACGTTTCAAATATTTAAAGATCGATATAACAATTAAATTTGTTGACAGACAATAGGCGACTAAACAAAGACATACTAAAAGTTATTCCATTCATAGGGTGCTAATTAATTATGCAGCTGAGATGAAATTAACCGACAGATATGGAGTGATTTGTTTGGCGATCACATGGTTCCTCAGATCTTGCATTCCAATATGGGTATCTAGTCATGTGGATTTAACACATCAGCATTGGATACGTGTTTATGCACCTATCATCACCTTTGGATAGAATTCGGTCAACACCTGGTATTTCCCAGTCAATGAATTTACTGTGATAATCTAATCCAGTGATATACGTATTCATATTACCTTGAAAGGTCTTTAGAAGGCATTTGGGCAATCTCCTTTTTCAGATTCGATGTGTTCACGCTAACTTTTGAGGAACTAAGCAGCTGGGTAATATTTATCAACTTTAATTCCTGAGGAGTGATATTTTAGACTATTTAGCCGCGAGCAATATAAGATTTACTCAGGAAACATTTCGACTTTCTATTTAGGTGAACACAGTGATTCAGTTACTGGGGCCACGAGTTCCTTCTATGGAGTGGAAGTTGTTAACAAGACGATAGAGGATTCCTTCGACAAACCACGCTTTTTATTTTCTAAATGTAGCAGACATAATTTGATGTTTGTAATTTATTGGCAAACTTCCATCTTCAACGTTTTGAAGTAGTGTTTTCAGTTAGAAAGCTGAATTGCGATTAAACGATGGATTATAAAATGGTTATATCGCTACTTTTTCAACAAATGATGTGACAGTTCGTCCTTCATGGCTTTCTCATAGACACTGATCCTATTGGTCTTAATTTTAAACCTCACAATATAGAGTCGTTTTGGATCCTGATGCATTGAAATTTCTTAATTTCAAACGACTCTCCGAGTAAAACCTTCCTAATTCAGATAGACAGCTACAAATTGCAAGAATACATATGACTCACCAACTTTGGACAACAATCAGTGTATTTTTACTTTTAATCTTAACAAGGAATACTTTATTATATTTTTCACCAGAATTCGCAATTAAACCTGACGAGCCAAAATTCATTCTACAATCTTCCTACCTCCTTTGTAAGCTTTTAAGCCTGGAACATACTACTTTGAGTATTAGCAATGAAGCAAATACTTACGGAAGGGAGATGTCAGTCGATAAAAGCGTTGCCTTTTGTACAAAAACTATTCCGTTAATAATTCAATAGATCTAGACAAACGAAAATAGGATGGAGTGTCCATCATCGGAAAGACGTCTGCTTAAAGATATGATTTTAAATTGTGAATTGTGCGAATCTCCTCAACACGTACTCCTGTAGTCACGACTGGACCACAACTCAGGTTGGAGTCGATGGAGTGTACAATTTTTATAATAATTACTAAACTCTCAGGACCTCATTTCTTCACTTCATTATTTATAACAGATCGAACTGCAAAAATTATTTGACATGAATCCTAGCTGATTAGCAAACGGAAATAATCAATTGTAGTATCATGTTTCAAAATCGTGCCGGGAATATGAATATGCGAGTAGTAATCACTCAATGAAAAGGAAAAAAATTAAGTGGATTACGCTTTATAATAGGTAGTTATATTAATGCATTACAAAATAATAACAATTAGTATGAAATGAATGTCACTCGACAGTATGTCCTCCTCCGGAAACACTACAAACTGAGTTCACTCAGAGCGGCCAATATACCTCCGACTGTTTAGCGTGGCGGAGTGAATGAAAACAAAAAGAAAGCAGTTATAGTTAGACACAGGGAGTACCTTGAATTACCTTTTAGCCAATGAGGACCATGTTATGCTGTGAAAGATTTATAACGAAAGTTAGTAGACTGAATAATGAACCTCTATTTATGAATTTTCGGGGTTTCAATAAAGAACTGATATCGCATACAATTGAAAATACTTTTCAGCCATCTTGATGAACATATTTTACACTGAATACTTACTAGTTCGTCCATATACCTTATCTTCTATCATAAATTCCAGTGTTTCGAGAAAAATAGGATTAATAATCCCACGAAATGAATCAAGACTTAAAATATTCGCAACACTATTATATTGTACGGCCAAGTGTACAATCGATAAAACATAAGAAGAATACTTCAAAAGTATGAGAATATTTATCTTGCGGCAACTAAACGAAAGTACACAGCTGCATATTAAACGGTGCTCATGCGCGTTTAATACACTTGAGCACCAAATGATATCACAGAAGCTGAAGGAAATATGGTATTTGATTACGATTTAAAAATTTATTAAATTCCCTGTACATCATAAACCTCAGGAAAAACTCGCTGTAAGAGAAATTACTCTACAAATTGGACATTTATCTATGAGAAATGTGCAAAGAGCTAGGGTCTATGTTGTCCATATTCTAAGCCTAATAGCTTCATCTTACTTTACAGAAGGGATTGTTGATCACAACAGCCGCCTGCTTTTTCAAATTAGTATCTTAATTTGGTGAATGATTATGGTATTTGTATGAACTGATGATTCTTATGTATTGGTTGCCCACCGATTACGAATTCCAAATATAACACGTTCATTTTTGCTCATCTAGCTCTACCTGCTTCAACTTGCACCATTTCGAAAATCCTTAGCTATTACATTGATTCAAATGATTCTAATTATCATAATAACTCTTCTGAAAAACTGTAGTAACTGATCACAACACCCATCTGAACTAAATTTAACTTTTGGGCAGTTTTAAATCAAACAGCATGTGATTATTCTGTCATTCTAATCTACCAACTAGTACTTTTCTTGAGTAATTATAGCTTTCATTCATTATTTGTGTGCGGATAAGCATATGTGGAATAAAACACTTCAATTAATATATTATACTTTAACTCTTGGTATACTGTTATATTAGGGTGTTAGTTCATAAAAATATGTATGAAAATCAGCATGGGTTGTATAAGTATATTTGGTGGGACTAAAATTTATGGACGACCTTTGGGTGACACTAGACTGACCTTGAGGGTGTCCACTTGATAAGCACGGCCAAATGAGGGTTATAAACTCGTATGAGGAGTTGGGATTATGATTCACAGTTTATGGTTAGAGTTATGAATTAGATTTAGGGTTTTCATCACGAACTGACATCAGCTATGATGCCAAAACTCTATTTATCCGAATGAACGAGTGAATTTTGCGCCAAAATGCGAGACCTGTTATCTCAGACGTGATTGGTTCGGCCATAATTTATAGTCTCGCCATATATTTTATCATCATAATTCATTATCAGTTGAAGTGAATTAAAGGTTACATATTGTTTTCACTCTCAGCCTCCATGTACACTCAAACGTATGAATAAAAAGTACTCATTTGGTTAGCGCTAGCAACGCTTCTTCATATAAGCAAATGACTAATAAGCAACTCAACATGCGAAATGAGGTCGCATCAATTGATCCAAGAATAAAAATAATTAGAATGGCAGACAATGTTTGAAGGTATATTCCCTTGTTGTGTTCGTTATGAAAATCCCATACCAGATCACAGCGACATGCTGAACAAGGAAAAACGTGAAGTCATCTTCATATTAATTGAATAATACCAGGATCGTCAGTCAGTCGGTCAGTCAGTAACAACGTAGAACTTCGTACGTACGTACATCAGTTCGAGTTGCCACACCACATTAGCACAGAGATGCAGTTGTCGATTCAAATCCCGTAGTGGTAGAGGTAATAAGAGTATAAGCAGTAATCGGGAAGATTAGGGTTTGGAGATGTTATTTAAAGAGTATAATCCAGTGAAATAAATTTGGAAAGAGGAAAAAGGGACATGAAGGATTCAGAAGATTAGAATTTGGGAGAACACAGAGATTGGATGCAACTGCGCCATTGCAAACGATTTTGAGCCATGTCAACATTGTCTTATATATTTATAAGCAATTCGTTACATTACTTGTAAAATGTTTTGATTCTAAAATTTTACAGATTGACATCGAAGTCTAGAAGAGAATAATGGGAATCTTTAAAAAGAGGTATAAATCTGATTTATTCACTTAAAATTAGCTTTCCAAATTATGTACATAAATAAAGATAATCGTCATCTCCTCATAGATTAATAGTGATAATACCGATAACAGTAACTGTGGGCAGTTTAAATGCAAAAGTAGTTTTATTGGAAAATCTCTTTGCGTACAATCTTCATTTATGTATTTAATATAGCGTTTTACAATCCACTCTAAACCGAATTCTACTTTCTTTTCTTTCCTCTAACCTTTTTCTTCTTTGGACCGGATGCTAATTTACGTACCATATCAAATGTGTCTTGATTAATACGGTGACCTAAACGTACACCGATTTGTGGTAATTTAGCATCTTTACGACACAGTATCCCTTCTAAAATTTGTCTGGCAGCAAGATCACCAATATCATTAGCAAACAAATCAACTTCTTGCAAATCCTTACTATGTGAAATTATACTGAAAAATAAAGGATGATAAATAATTACGAGTAACAATTTGAATGTAGTCTGTTTCTTATAATATGTTGATATATTTATAAAGTACAGATGAACAATCATTTATTCAACATTGATCAATCTCTGAACACTGAATTATGTACTCTTCCTTTCATGATCATATTCTCCAATTGTGTACAAAGAAGTAAATCAGTCAGTAAGACATATTTTTAAATCTTTTCTCAAACTAGCGAATTTGAGGAAAAACCCGTGTGATTACGTCAGGTTCTTTGTAAAGGTCTCGTACACTGCGAAGATAATGTTATCATGAAATACAGTCACGACGACAACTATTAAAATCCAAGAAAACTGAACATTTGTGTCACCATATGTTTGAACACATATTAGTGTGCACTAACAGTCAAACACAGTATGGCTTGAGTTTATAATGATCACAACATTATGAAACTTTACAGTCAAATCCAACAGTTCACATTTTCTTTGTCGCTCAATTTTTCGACAATCATCAAATACCATCAGTGTGAATGTGCAGCATAACAGGACGCTTTGCTTTACTTAGTGGCATAAAATCTTCCATTTGAAAACAAAGGTAGGTTACTAGAATTTGGTCCTAGATATATATATATACATATGATTATTAATAACTCATTAGCACTCTAATGATACAAAACGACAAACAGAAAAATCCAAATTTGAAATCATCAGTGTAATATTGTATTATCCGATAAATAAAGTTAAAACAAATAGTAATAACAACTATTGGAATTAAGACGAAAATATGACAACTGATAATGCACCCATTAATTCCTACCATGAATAGTATATAGAAATGTTGGTTACTCAATTACAGTCATCAAAATGTTAATAACCAGTGGGAGGAGACTTTTGGTAACATGTCTCAGGGTTAGCCGTTTTTTAATTCGCTGTTAAGGCATTTATGCTGAATTTTAATTTCTCGGACTTTGTAAAATATGACCATCTGACAGGCAATTAATTCGATATATAACGATGCACTGATGTGTACCAACTGGCTGACTTATGAATTTCACAAGATTGCTGTTTTAATCAATTTTTTTAGGTGTCACGTACCTTTATTAACATTTAATTATCATTTTACCTTTTTAATAATTGCATACATCTCACTGTATTAAAATTTTCTTCTTGACCATGATGACTAATTTCATTATCGGCTAATTTCAAAACCGCTATTTGTGGACCAGAAGGAGGAGATAATGGTTTGCTTTTATTCTTTCTACCACGTTTTCGCCCTTCATTAAAAAGAATAATTTGAATCTAGATATTATTAACATATTAATGTATTCATTTATCTACTAAGATTTTAATAATGATTATTCTGTCAAAATATTTGCGAAACCATAGCTTGAAAATTAATATAGTAATAATTTCCTGTTAATCTACTTCGAATTTATCATTTCTTCACAAAGCTGATGAGTCCTGTACTTGATTACGGCAGAATATGATCTAGAAATAAGGGCATTTGAACATGTAGAACCCCACAGTCACAAATCAGAAAATATAAGGAGCAAGGGGAGTGATTATTGGATAGTAATCAAAATCATATCAGAAAAACATAAGTAATTATAATTATTAGTATTGACTATAACGTCATTGCAATTCAGCCAATCTGCAAAATGGCAAGTTATGTTATCGTCCAACTGTATCATGTCAGGTTGATATTCTAAAAAGCACTATTAGGGTTTGATTGAATAGAATCTCTTTAGTTCCTTCAGAGCCCCTATAGGATTCGTCGTGCCTTTCAAAACCGTTCCAACTCAAACAACTAGAATTTTTTTCGTTTGAAGAAAATTAAGTTATTATATCTCACTTATTTTTCCACAAATAATTTACTAGTATGATACGTTCATTATAATTTTTGGTTGCCATTCGCTTCATTTTAATTAACCGTTTAAATTTAAGTTTATTAGATAATGAAAAATATTTTTTTTTAAATACTATTATACGATCATTTGTGTTCCATTGATTGTAGTATCACTAAGGCATTTTTTAAATTCATATGTTTGTCAAAGCCATCATATTGTACTTCTGGGGAATAGAAATATGTATAAAAGAAACCTCGTAAATGTTTATGAAAATTGTCTGATCATAATATGTTTTTTCATCATTTTGTTTGAAAAAAAATTGGAAGACCGACTCAAACAACCTCATCTAATTATTTCATCCAGTAACTTATCATTACTGACCCAAAAGCTAATAAAATTCTATTACTGACTTATTATTTATTGACAGTTATTTGAACAACAACCAACTCCGATTAGAAAATATGTATAAACACTGATAAGTTATCAAATAAATTAGTGTATTGATGAAAGATCTAATATAACAATGTTTGTCACATAGCATTCATAATAGTTATAACATGATACTGAGCTAAAAAAAACATCACAAAAACATGACAGAATTCCTCTTCCATGAGAAATATTCAAAATCTAAGGACTGCATTTTATATTCACATGTGACTACTCAAATTCAATAACTTAACCATTAGATAGATCCCATTATGCAGTTTAATATGAGTAATTTAAAATCAATACTTCAGTTATTGTACTGAACTAATCTTGAACACCAAACCTTCAGACTTATCAAAATTTACTTTTACGAATATATAATCATTTCATGCATTATTCTCTCTAAGTTATGAAATTAATTTCAGAATCAAACACACTAAAAGCTGAAAAAAAACAGCATTATTCATTCTCAGTGAAATTCAACTGGACATATAAATAGCTATTTAACAAATCTAGGTGGAATGTATGATAAGTAAATACATATCAATCCAAAAAAACATAATTCATTGGCTATCGAAGCAAGAAATCATAATGTAAATACTTAATAAAGTTTACGTATAATATATATATATATATATATATGAAGCCATACATGACTCTGACTGATTATCATATATTAAACAATATTATGTTTGCCTGGTCATGAGAATTAGTCGAATCGTGTCAGTCCACTTATATTTTGCTTTAATATAGTTTGAGCGACAAGACATTGCACTCTATGATTGAATATTAAGTAATTGACGGAATTCTGAAGGAAACTCTAGACTAAGATTCCATGTGATTTGACACTTTTTAAAAAAGCGTAGCCACAATATTCAAGGGACTGTGATTCACTATGATTTTCAGTCGGTACATGAGTCGAAAATATTGACATTGAAACAATCAGACTGTGATTAATCTCCCGCAGGACTGGAATTCCTTCACCGATTGATTACTGAGCAGTATATAGTCATATGCTTATCTAGTTCTTATTGCTGATTACATTGTTTATAATACTCGGGATAAAAGTTAACTTGTATCAGAAGTTAAAGGTTCTACTTAGATCTAAAACGTGTGCTGTATTTTAAATGCCAATCATAGTTACTTTCCAACAAAATCTTACTGATTTCTGTTAGTAAGTAATAAATAGCATGATGACGTAAAGTTGGTCCCACCAAAAATGCTAACTTTAAAGTTTTCCAGCCTATTTTAAACCTATGCAATAAAATGTCTGCCCGTTTCTCACTCTGATCATTTCACAACCATTCCTGAGTTAAGGTGAATTGTATAACGACTTTACCGATCTAATATTTGTAAATATCGTCAACTTACTTTTAGATGATTTATTCTTATCACATTTTGCAGAGGTTTTCTTACTTGATATAGAGGTTGCTAGATCAATAATATCATCATGAGCTGCTTCTAGAACATTTAAGTCCTTCACTTTCGCTCGACCTATCAACAGTAAAATGAAAAACACAAAACCTATTATCTTCAACTCAGTGATTGCGCATTTATCTGTGAGTACATAAAAAAGTAACTTTAAACATCCATTCTTGATGTTACGAGATGATTTCATTAAAATCATTTACTCATAATTATTCATCCATTGATTTTATATCTTCTTTCATTAGTAAATGTACAACTGACTACCACTCGAACATAATACTTGGTTTGTGCTTTTTTCAAGCATTATGTACTCAAACCACTGAAATATCTCAGAAATAAAATGAAAGACAAATTCTTACTAGTGCCGTAAGAGAAATAAAATGTCATCCTTATCTTCTGAAGCATAGTTTTTTACTTTTACACAGGTATTTATACGACTGATATGAAACTCTACTGAGAATCCACAAAATTAAAACTGGTTATCGTGAAGTATATGCCCTCCATTTGATCCATTATGCCTTAATCTTGAATATATTAGTGTGTTTATAAGATATGAATGAATATGATTAGTTTAAACTAAGAAATTTAAAATAGTTGACAAAATTGTTAGAAAAACGTATCCAAAGGATGTGAACGTAACTAAAATAGGCAATGAATTCAGTGTAATTTAACAGAAAACATAAAGAATTTGGTGACTGTCAGGACTCAGTAACTAAGTGGATAACGTGATGGTGTTTGAGACGAAAGGTACTTGGTTCAAGACCCAGAGTGAACATCAACTGCGAGATGCAGATACATCTAGCTGATGAGTCCCAAGTAAGGCAAAACGCTCATCTTATATTCCACTGCTAGCCACTATCCATCTTTGCTTAGGAAATATAATCGCTTCTGATAAGTTTATTTATGTTGTGTAAAAAAATTTTAATATGTTATTTCATGACATTGCTTACATTTTTTAAAATAGTTTTAGGTCTATTATTTAAAGGATTAGTAGTTTCCAACCAAAGTTTTACTTACCATCGTGTTATGAACACAGTTAAAATTTAATTCTTGTATTTAATTAAAATCCTATAGATAAGTATATGAAATTAAACCGTTACATCGGGGTAATGCTCATGTTAACTGTAGCTCAATTATACTTTATCTAATTTTCTATATTTATCTTGAAACGGTATTTTTTACTATGATGGTTGGGCCACGTGTTGCGTATGCCTGAACACCGATTATCACGACTCACAATGCTAACTAGTGTTCGAGACATTTGGAAGAAAGTTAGGGGCGGCCAAATCAAAACGTGGCATCAGTGCTCGAAATCACTAACTTCTGGTCTGAGCCATGTTGATAAATGAAGACAGCTTGGTTGGGGTCCGCGTGGCTATCGTAACCAATGGTTGAAGACTCTTGGTGACATGGCTCAGAATCGATCACAATTGCGTAGGTGTATACACTCTTTGTCTTCCCTTAAACTATGAGACTAAAATCGCTTAATATCTTTCTTTCTAGGAACTAATTCTTTCTTCCTGTACTATATCCTTATATGCAATCTTTCTTTTATATATTACCACCACTACTTCCATGAATCCGGTGTTCATCTTGTTGTAACGATGAGGTGTGGCGAATTGGACCGATGCACATGTGTGCATGGTCCTACGTTGTAGCTGACTAACTGACTGACTGACTATAATTAATAATTAACTAATAATAACTATCAGATAACAGATTAAATAATGAAACTACTTTCAGAAAATCTGAAAACAATTATTAGTCTTAAATAGAACTTTAATCCAATTACTTTTGCTTAAATCACAAATATTCACAAATTTATGTCAGTGATTCTCTATACCCTTGACTAAATGGTATTTGTAATTTCACTTTATTTAAAAGAATATTGAGTGAATTATTATCATTATTATTATCTAAAATAATGTTACCTCGACTTTTAGATTCCTCTGCAACTAATTTTTTTCTTCTTATCTCTTCAGTACGTTCAAATCCTTCTTTCTCTGCAGCATCAGAAATTCGACTAATTAAAGCTATAGTTCCTTCAGCTTCTAAAGAATTCCCGTCAAGAATAAGCTCTCTTCAGAAATTGTTTTCAGAAAAAAAATGATATTCATAGTTTTCAAAGCATAACAAAATAAGTAAACAATAATTCGGATTTATTATTTCATTCATAGTTATTGTGATAAGTTCTTACAAGATATTTCTTATAGTCAGTCAGTCAGCGACAACGTAGAATTTTGTACATACGTACACCACTTCACGTTGCCATACCACATTAGCACAGAGATACAACTGTCGATTAAAATCCCATAATGGTAGAGTTAGTAAAGGTTTAAGCAGTAATCTTAAAGATTAGAGTTTGAAGATGTTATTCAAGGAGTAGAATCCAGTGAAATAAACTTGGAAAGAGGAAAATAGAGACATGAAGAATTCAGAAGATTAGAATTCGGGAGAACACAAAGAATGGGCGCACCTGTGTAATTGCAAACGATTTTGAGACATATTGTTCAAGGTCTCTAATCATCAGTTGCTATCGTTTCGTTGATCTCAATCACGTAGTCTACACCTACTAACATGGCTCAGTCCACTTGTAAGTGACTTCATAGATTTTTACCATGTTTTAGTCTGGCCGCCTCTAGCTTTCTTCCAACCTACTCCTATATCATAAATTTCTTTTACAGCAAATGGTTCTAAATTACCATCGTCAGTTTTAACATTTCTTTGAAAAGTATTTGATCTGTCCTATATGTTTGGCAAATCAGAAAAAGCTGGTCACATTTTAACTGTTTTTTCGAACTCGTAATATATAATTATACTAAGAAGAATCATATATTATTCCATGATTACGCAATGCCTACTGTGACTTTTAATGACATTCATTTCACTGAATTTCTATTATGTTATTGTTTTTCTTAAGTAGATTTACTTCGTAATAGAAAAATGTCAAGTGCAAAGATTTCCCATGTGTTAGTTTTTTATACGTTATTCAACCTTTTTTAAAATGTCGGTTATATTTATTTGAATTCTACATCAATCTAGGTTTTAATTCAATTGCAAATGCTATGAAAGTAGAATATTTTAGCGGTAAATAAATCCCCAAAATAAATAGCTCTGTAAGTTTTCGACATTGAATGCTGACCATATGTTTTAATGGACTCATCTAGCTGAAGGTGCTCGGTCATGCATCCGCACCAGATCACGTGTGGGAACGCCGTGCTCAACATCTACTGCAATCGCTAGCCAGACTAGATCAGACAATTCTGATATATTGGCAATCGTCAAATATAACTTCTGATCTCGATTCTGTCTTTCGATTTCTCTTGGTGGGTACGAGTTATATTAGGAGGTGTTACTGGTAAAAGCGTTGTCAAACACTGAATACCTGTGCCATCTTCAATATCTTTCGATAAACGTGTTCCTTATCAGTAAAGAATAAGATATTGAAGCTTATTTTTTGAAAAAAGGACAAAATGCAGATTCATTTACATCGTCGAGAGAGTTTACAAATTGCCTTATATACATATATATATATTGATGTTTCCAAAATAATTTTATTTTCGACCGTAAAAAACAATTTTTCATACACTCCTTAATGAGTTGATTTTGAGCATGCTTTGCAAATAATAAACGACAATAAATAGTATTTATCATTCATGCTAGCTAACCTTATAGCTGTTTCTGCAATTACATTTCCAAGCCACAAACCACATTGTTTAGTCAGACCACAAAATCTTAGGCTTAAATAAGTAAGATATTGATTTCTAACTAAACCATCACATAATATACAACAACCTTGTTCACCAATTCTGAGAAAAGGAAATCAGAAAAAAGAATCAAATATATAGTTAAACTGGTCTCATGAGAAACATATTTATGTATTCATAAAAATGATTATTAGATCAGCTTCTATATTTACCAAGAAAGAAAGTTTCCCAAACATTTTGCATAGAAATCCATTCAATAATTTTATTCGGTAAGATAAAAAAGGAATACACGTTAGAATTTTGAATTCTAATAAGTTCAGCATTCCATAAAAAAGAGAACCTGTCCTAATGTTAAACAGATGTTATTAATCCTCATTTTCTGCTTTTCAGTTTAACTTCTTTATTTTATATGCTGTTATGAAGTGTGACAACTTGAACCGATACATATTCGTCCCGGATAGTCGCCTACTTATAATTGATTAACTTTTAGTCAAATGCTTTAAATTTAATTGTCCTTTACTAACTAGAAAAAAAATACTACATGCAGCTAAGTCGTGGTGATGTCATCTGTTTTCTAACTAATAACACGATCATATTTTACTTTTATCTTCCAAAAATAAAGTTACTACCTTTAGCATATAGTAAGACAGTTTTAGTAGAGAGTTCATGAGTGGTAGGTGCTTCACAAATATACGGATACTATCAATCATTTCTATAATGCTTACGGCTGAAATTCATCAACTTTTGTTAAAACTTTATACAAACAACCAAGATCACCAATTAATATGAGACCATCAATATGGTTATTTTGTCATACAATTAGACTGAAAAATGAACTAGCCAACATAAATTTTGAAGATCTGTTATCAATACACTTTAATGAGAGAACATTTTTCATAAGCTGAATAACTATAATTCAATGGACAACTAAAGCAGACAGCTTGTATGAATATTCGTTAATATTTGAACAAACAATTTGATAGGAGTTTAACACCGAGTATATAGAAGGCATTTAATGCAAAAGTTACATTTGAAATAAACTCAGTGATTGAAATCTAAGTACTTTCATCGTTTCGTCCAGCAATCTTATCTGAACCTCTTCCGAGTAATAAACACAGTCATTCACGTTTCATTCTTTAGCCGACAAATACTCGCTAGCATTGAGAACAGAAGTTAAAAACTGGTGAGTAATGGTTGAAGCTTTCAGAAGGTCAATCATAACCTAAATATCTCATCTGTAAAGAATTTGATTGCAAATATGGAAATTTAAAAGTCTAATCTAGTGAAAGATAAGCTTATTTGAGGTTGTTAATACTTTTAACTATAATTGATAATAAAAGTAAAATATACGAAAGCGTTGTTGCCTTTTCGTCTGAATTCAAAAACTATGATCGCTGCCAACTTTAAACAACCATTTTCAATTTAGGCTAGTATAATAGTTAAATCAAATTAAATCACATACAGCTTTCCCATTTCAAGAACTGACATAAATGTTGTACTGCATACTGGAATTATCATTTATTAACTTATCGGTCTTTCGTCAATAATAACCAAAACCCATAATTTTTTTCTTCTCTGAGTTTGATTGAATATGTTGGTGCATTCTGCCTTATTATAAACGGGTTCAGATGGTCAAGTTTGTTGATGCTCATCATTAAGGTGGGACTCGAACGGTTAAAAATGCCCATTCCCTATCATAAGTTGAATATATACGTCTTGTAAATAAGCACCAAAATGCAAAAATATAGGTTGTTATTTTCCATTTAATCACTCAGTAACATTAACATTTTTTTATTTCATAATTAAAACAGTGAAAGTAAATTTCAGCTGTTATAGAAATCATATGTGAAAGATGACAATGGATACAAAAGAAAGATGAACTGAACAGTTTCACTACTAATAGCTATTATCTCTGCGCAACAAAATAGTTTAAGAGAATGCTGTCCCATAGAATCAGTTAATACAAACCGACTTAAGAATGTTAAATACCTATATTGTTATAAGGTGAGCTTAACACATAGGAGCATTTGTCTAACTGGATAAAACCAAAAATCATCTTTATGGAATTGTACCATTTCTCGTTTCAAACATTTTGAAACATTCCTGTTCCTAATACCTACTTGATTCATCAAACATCATATTACCAGATGGTCAATATCATGGTTTCAATGAGAAATGCAATATAAAGATATCCAACAGACTCAATGTTCAAAAAGTCCTAAACCCTGACCTTGATGCAATCCACCAAGATGTTCAGTTGAGTAGCATGAGTAGACTTCGTCAAAAATGCCTAAATTTAGCTTAAAATAAATAACGTTTTTTCTCAGGAAAAGTGCATTAACCTATAAATTTAAATCAAATATAAGATTTGTGGTCAAAATTGAACAATAAATAACAAATACTTCACACATTTACTCATTAAAATCCAAGGATAATTCACGTAGTATTTTAGAGATAGCAATATTAGCCACTAACAATCGAATGCATTCCGTGTCAAGAAAACAGTCGATTAATTCAATACGTGTAATAAGATAACATTCTTTATTGAACAAACCAGTCTAGAAATGAAAAAAATAGGTATCAAGAGGTAGAACTTATATACTAGATAAATTTGTCAAAATAGTGAAATTGTAAATTACATCGTACTTTCAATAATAGACATTATCCTGAATTAGTACTTATCAATCGAAAATGTAGTAATAATAATAGGTTACTAGCATGTACTGTTATTACTAATCTCGAAATTTGCTTCCATAAACACGAATTAATACATAAGTAAATTATAATCAGAGAGGGATTTTGTGGATGCGGGATCATGGGTGCGCACTGCTGATGAGTTCCATACTAGGACGAAAAGACCGTCTAGTGCTTCTAGGTTTTCCATGGTGATCTAGCTTCAACTGACTCATGAATTCAACTATTATAATTAAATTATCTAGCTTTTTTGAGTAATTTAACAGCAAAATTTAGTAAAGCGTATGGCTTATTGCACAATTCAGTATCACTGTGTATAACATTTCCCATCACAGTAATAAGGGGTCGTAGTTTTGATCGAGCATCACACTATGAGGATACTTACATCACATCAACTATATTTCACTCGAAATAAGTTTACAGTTTGTGGGTTAATGATAACGGTGACGAAGATTACACAGATAACAGTTAAAACAGAAACAATGGCAAACACCTTAATGGACATAGTAATGGTTAAGACTAATTTTTATAAAGCAATATTTTAGTGGACAGATATTTCAAAACTTAAAAATAATAATTGACAAACACTTTTTGCTTAAAGATAAATATTATGTTTTCATGAGTGATGCAGCCAAAATAAGTGGACGTGGTGTGAGGATCGAAAAGTGGTAATGACGTTACGGGCCTCTTATTAAAATGAATTATTCTAGTTTCTCGCTTAAAACGAACATTCCAATTGTTTAGAAGGACATCTCAAATGATATTGAATTGGCCTAAATGCTTCAGCTCTGCTCAACACAGATCGTTTATCCTGCTGTCTCTCAGTAAACATTTTTCATTGAAAGCTGAGGACTGCACTATTCACATTCAACAAATTAGCACGCACTTTCGTAAGTTCAATCGTATATAAGGCGACAATTAATAGACATCCCACGGTCTTGAATTTGGGAGTCTGTTATCATACATAGCTGAACCTTCTGACTGAGTACCTTGCTTGTTAAATTTAGACATCCTATACATAATTTAAAATTTCCTCTAGCTAGCTTTTCATCCAAAACCCACGTTGATTCCCTGAATTGATTTTTATAGCTTTTAGGGAGTTCCTAACACAAACTAAGATCAACTGAAAGACCAATGAATACCAAAGGGAGCTGTAAGCTAAGCTTCTTCTATTTTTTGAACTCTCGAAACTCACCTTTACAGTAAAGCAGGAAAACTAAGGTTATTAAAATCTTCCAATGGACATGGCATTACTCAATCACTGATTTAATAATCAGTGCCTCATTTCATTGAAACAGTAGTGCCAAGTAATATTCACCCATAATTGAATGTAGATAGCCGAATACAGCTATCAATCAGGCTACTTAGCTTTTAGTAGTTTTATTGATAATATAAGCCTAGAAAGAACCTTTTTGTCATACGTCTCAACTTTTTAAAGCAGATCTTTGAAAACTAATTGTTGTAGTTCCTGTTTCATGAAATAAGATAAATAAACCATTAAAAATCATGGAGTATTAAATTTGGAGCAATATGGTAATTTCAAGATACTTAGCCATTTATACTCAATATAACAAATGATGCATAAAGTGTTTTCCTTCTTTAAATATAATTCTAAATGAATAAAAGTCGGGAGTCAGAGGTAGCCGAAAGTTTACTGTGATTTCAGTCACCATGGAAATACACTTAAGTAATCCAAACAAAGTATCAACATTTATTCATTTTCAATTCAGTGTTACTAGTCTATCAGTCTCTCACATGCATCACCATCACAGTCATTCAGAATTAGATTTAAAAACGTTCGACTAAACTTTATACATTTTTCCTAAAATTAACAGGTTGGTTCTAAGAATTCAGTTTGTCTGGTAGATATGAAGTATGTTTATTCTCAAATTTGTTTAATGTTTCACTCAGATTATCATTGATGAGGTAAAATACAAATTGTAACTTACTAATGCAACCATATCATCATTTTCAATATAACAATCCCATATTAGTATTTCTTGTATCGTTGTATACCTTTTTGCTCGTATCGTTTCAATCAATGGTAAAAGTTTTACCAGTGGTTTATCTTCTTTCAACTGTTTTTTGTTAATGTTCTTTTGTTGTGTGTTTCTACTTTTATCATCACCACCAGCATTGCTAAAAACATCACATAGTTTGTCGTCAATCCAATACTCAACTGTTTTACGATCTTGTGGATCAACTAGAAGCTTTGTACAACAACTGATATTTTAATTAACTTACTCTTGTTACAGGATGATCTTCTTCTACAGCTTTTCTAAAACATAATTTGACTGAGTTACAAACTGTCGTTTTATAATAATTAGCTCTTTGTTCGTAATCGTTGAGTAACTCTTTCACTAACCTCGCCAATGCTGTTTCATTCTATTAAACGTTTACTTGAAGAAAAATGGAAATAAAATCTCACTTGTGCACTCTTTTTTGGTGGCATATTGGGTGAGCTAGTAAATATAAACCAAGATTTTTATGAATTCTACTCTATGAATTGCATGTAATAAATATGAATAACTATTTTTTAGCAACATATATATTGATTTTAAGGAATTAAATGACAAACGTTATGAAAACATTATCAAATATTTCTACATCTTGCATCACATATGAATTGATTTAAAGTAAAGTTTAGTGATGATTTCACAAAAACAACTCAGTTTAGGAACACTAAAACCACATTAGAATGCGAACAGCCAGCAAATCAAACACAAAATTAGAGAAAAAACTCATTAAATCTCTAAAGTACTAGATGTCTCCATGAATTTGTTACAAGTCACTTCTTCTACCAAGAAGAAATGTTCATATCATATTGCGAATCGCGTTCGCTACGACATTTATATAACTTACGGTTATCGTCGACATGAAAATTGGCTCCTATAAACATGTGACTTATTGGTGGAATACATTACATTTGTCTCATAGAATATGAGCCTGATCTAGATGATGCCTTGGTTCTACATATTGAATCAGGAATTAGTAAAACAGTGAATAAAAATGAGTTATTGCATGTTTAATTATCACTGATATTCATGTTCGTATATGAAGTGAATATATAGTCTTCGGACCTATAAATTTCAAACCATAACACCCACAATTTCTAGAAACCGAGCCTTACTTACGCAATGGTACCAAAAATTAAGTTAAAATTACTATTTATGGCTCATATCGATAGTTGATGTTATTATGGATTAGTGCCTTAGCATAACGCACTCTCAATATATGCAATACAGAGATGATCTTAAGATTAGAAGAGATATGCTAGATACAAACGGTTTATTTTCACCTCAAGAAGACACAAGTAGGAAGTATTGCTGGGTCAATAAAAAGTCTTCTTCATTTCAATGGAAGTAATCCACGATCTTGAGACCACCGCCTACTGCCATGTGATTGCAGTTATGGGGTTCAGAACCCTACGGACTTTAAGATGATTACTCACCAAGCTGCATACACATTTTTCGACTGTAGTGTACATAACCTAAGTATGATCCAAACTTTGAAACTGCGTCCAGGCTGAAAGCCAATGTTCAACAAGCGACCAGGATATCTTGAAAACGTACATGGGAAAGCTACTCGTGCAATTAAAGAACTCCAATGTTAGCCATACATATTGAGACCAGAAAAGTCAGATCTCTTGACTCTGCCCCACCAAATATTAGGAAGTGGTCCAGTTTTGATGTATAAATCTCTTGGAATTGACTTTGAACCCGACATCCGTTCTTTTTCTTCTCAACAGATCAGGAAACCTCGAAACACATAGCAGGCGGGTTCAAAAATCAGAAACGACAAAAGCACTCGAGGCATATGACTTTTCACATCTATACGGAAACTCTTGACACCTAATATCACAGGAAGCGATGTTTGGTGAAACACTAAGCACTCATAGAAGCTTATCACAAAAGGACTTACATAAACCGTCAGCTTCCTATACTCAATGCGGAAATCTGAATCTAGTGGTTATTAGTGATGATTCATTATGTTTCAATCACATCAGAGTAAATATTCATTTAGGACAGAACACGAATGATCTCACACGAAACTCTATGCAAATATTTTGTGGCAAGAATCACTAAACAGGACAACCTTTTCAGGAACCGTAGGAGCGGCATCTTTCGCAAAATAAATTTAAAAGAACTTGAAAACTACCTAGGTGCAATATGCAGTGAGGGAGATCATTATAAGTTCTTCTGCACGACTAATTACACTATTATTAAATGACTTGTTTGTCCTCTCTGTATAGCACATTAATACATTTATATCACGACGTTTACAACAATATCTACGAGTATAAATGTGAGAGAACGCGAAATAAGTCTAAATAAGTACGACAATTTCAACAAGTAATCTTCTGTGACTTATATTATGGCAAAATGTAAACATAAACGCTATCAAACTCACATGAAATTCAGGAAATGCTTACCTGAATGGACTTAAAAAATGAATAGACTATTTACCAATTTGGCATTTGAACGGATATTCCATAAGATCTAACGAGTTAAAAAAAGTTAACTACAAAAGTCTCCATTCGGTGGTCAACACGTTAAATTTCCGCCAGCGTCGTTGTTAGAGCAACAGGAGATAAAATCCAATATCCAACATCGTTGCGACAAACTATTATAAAGCAAATTGATCTTTCAGTACTCTGCTCTTGGCGTCTCAATACTAACCCTGGTCTTTGTCGGCATTCCATGAGTTTAGTCATGATACTTGACTACACCTTAATGAATCAGACAGTTATTCGGGGATCAGCAACTGCCAGTTTACCTTAACTCAGTCAAATCAGAGGTCAGAGATGAATGATTTCGAAGACATATTAAATGCGTTGTCTATATATAGAAAAAGTGTTTTTCGGTCTGGGCCAGCTAGTAGTTGCAAGGAGTGAGTAGCACAGCGTACACTTTTGTGGTCAGTTGTGGATGCATGACCAAGCGCCTTTTGTTAGTGTGCTTCTAGTAAAACTAATTAGGAAAGCACCAGCGACAAAGATTTGCAAAACTAAATGTCCCGAGGTTTTTTAACAATACAGATTTCTCTACCTCTTAGTGAGGTAGGGATGTTACTAAGTTTTGATCAGCTAGAATTTGAAACCCAAAGAGCTTGATGATGTCACAGGTATTCAGTGTTTGACAACGCTTCTACCAGTAACACCTAATATATTTCGTTCCCACCAAGAGAAATCAAAAGACAGAGTCGAGGAGATCGGAAGAGTATATTTGGCGATGACCAATATATCGGAATTCTCTGATCTAATCTGGCTAGCGATTGCGGTTGATGTTGAGCACGGCGTTACCACACGTGATCTGGTACGGATGCCTGACCGAGCGCCTTCAGCTAGATGAGTCCACTAAAACATATGGTCAGCATCCAATGTCGAAAACTTACAGGGCTATTTATTTTGGGGATTTATTTACCGCTACAGATCACTCCCCCCTAGTGGGGCAGTGACGACCCTAAGACGTGGCCAGCCAGAAGTTTAAACCCAACGAGTTTGTCGTTGGTAAACACTCTTCTGATAGCTTACCAAGTGTAGCAGCGTCTGGTCGTCTTTCCTTACTATATGGGACCGAGGTACAACATAGTAAAAAAAAAGAAAAAGTTACAACGAAAATTTCGACTCCTCGTAAACTGCATCGTTCTTTTCCAGCCGTCCTGGAAAAAAAAAAAGAATATGTAAGTGCATGTCGAAATACACTCGTATGTGCGTAAAAACACAATGTCGGCGAAAAAATGGAAAATAAACTCAAGCACACGTAATAGCGTTTTTTTAAATAAAAATATAAACATATAGGCATATTAAAATTGTTTTTTTTAATATTATATATTGTCAAAAGAAAAATCGAGATAATATAAAATGTCGAGTAGTGTCTTACGTGCAGTAGTCGTTTAAATGTTCTGGAAATCTAACTCTTCTTCCAGAACGCGTCGTTTTAAGTTTTTTCTCAGATACATTCGGAGTATCATCGCCAGTGTTGGTTGTCGGTTGAGGAATTATGAGTGGAGTCGTGTCGTTCGATTGTACCGAAGGAAAATCGACGTGAATAGGATTTCCTTCTAAATACGCTGCTTTTAAGCGATCGATGCTGATGCTATCGTTTGTTCCGTTCTTATCGACTATATAGTACTTAGATTCACGTTGAAGAACTTTGAAAGGTCCTTCGTATGCTGATTCGAATGGTCGTCGATGCGAGTCTCGACGAACGAAAACGTGTGTACTATATCGTAGGTCAGGTTGAACGAAAACATCAGTTGATTGAGGTCGAGTGGAAGCAGGTTTAACTGAACGCATTGCGTTTGTAAGCCTGTTCGTGTAGGAGGTTAGATCCATGTTCATCGAAGAGCACGAAGGATCCACGAATTCTCCTGGAAGTCGAAGTGTCGTTCCATAAACGAGTTGAGCCGCAGTGTATCCAATGTCAGCTTTCACTGCATTGCGGATACCTAGTAAGACGAGTGGAAGAGCGTCGGTCCACTGTGAAACGTTTGCAGCTGATAGTGAAGCTTTTAGTTGTCGGTGAAAACGTTCTACCAACCCGTTTGCTTGTGGGTGGTAGGCGGTCGTTCGGAAGCGAGTGCTTCCTAAAAGTGTGGTCAGACGACGGAAAAGATCAGATTCCGGGGATTTATTTACCGCTACAAGCTTGTTGTTAGTAAGCACTCTTCTAATAAATTGCTAAGCCCTGCAGAATCTCTCATTGATGCAAGGAGACACGTATCACAAATCACCGATGATGAATATACAATGAAAAATTCGATTTATCGTATGCTTCGTCGGCTTCAATACTTTCCAGTAGTCTTAAAACAAGAAAAAATGAAAATGTACGTGCATGCCAAAATATAATTATACTTTTTTAAGGATGAAGACGTGGAAAAAATCCTATGAATATGCATATGCATACAATAAGATACTACGATTAATTTTCACACATATTTGTTTAAAGATGCTTCGAATATTGGGAGTTTGACAACGCCTTAACCAGTAACACACTTACTATCGAAGCATAACGACCCAGTCAAATCAGAAGTAAGGAACGAGGGATTTCACAGGTATATTTGGAAGGCCATATGTATGTCGAAGAAAAGTTTGGTAGCACTATGTACCCATCCATAATCCGGTGCGAATGAGTGGCCTTAGCGCCTTCAGGTGGGTGAACCAAGTAAAACTAATGCAATCAGCATCGAATGTCAAGGCCATACAGGGCTATTGACTTTAAGGATTTATTAACAGCTACTTTATCTGTCACAAAAGAAGGCTTCCCCCACCTGTTCCCATCTATTTAGTAAATGGTTTCATGGTTGTCGAAGATAACTCGTGCTAAAGATCAGTGCCTCCTTTTTGAGGCTGAGTGACTTTAGGAAGGTCGAATCCTTGGAAACGGTTCAGGTACGTCAAGGCGCCTGTCACTATGTCCTTTGCACTAGAAATGTGTTGTGTAACTGAAGTTCAGGTGTCGAGACTCTGTAAGGGAGTACTTGTCTGAAGATAAGCCTACAGAGAAGGTAAGGGGTCTGTGATCGGTGTAAAGAGTGAATTCTTGGCCTTCAACAGAGTGTTGAAAGTACCGTACAACACAATTCATGGCTAGAGTTCCCTACCGAAAGTGCCAAAACTAATCAAGATCTCAAAATCACTCATCTAACAAAACACAAACAACTGCGTGATTACACCAAAATCAGTGCCATACTTTAATTCGGAGTCTAACGACCGTCTTGGGAAGAATGTCAAAGGTTGCCAGCTATGGTTAACCCATTGTTGTAAGACTCCTCCGACTGCCAAGCTGGATGTATCTAATGAGATACTGATGAGTGCTTTTGTGTCCTCCTGTGCGATCAATGTTGCCTGGCGATAAATTCATTAACTGTAGAGAATGCTTTTCGCAATATCGTACAAATTAATGGATTCCGCATTCCCTTAATGTCAGTAGATTAAAGGCTACATAAGAGACGCACATTTCAATATCAACCGTCGATAGAAACTTACCAGACCATTAAACGTGTGTAGTTGCTTGATTGTGGTCGGTTCTGGGTAATCCGGAATGTCAACTATTTTTATTTTTTGAGGTCGAATGCTTTGAAGATTATTAGTATGTCCGAGGAAATCTAGGGAGACGGTGCTGATCTGACATTTCTGAATGTTTACAGAAATGCTGTGTTCATGTAGTTGTTCGAAAACAAGGTTTAACTACTGAATACGGGATTCTCTATCCAAACTTGTAGTCAAATGGTCATCAACATGCAAGCGTGAGAAGTTGAGACTTCGAAAACCGTCGTCAATCAATCCCTTGTAAAGCTTGTGCAACGTTTCTTAAACTGAAAGGCATGCGCAAATTCGAACAGTCCAAAAAGATTGATAATGTTCATCTTAGAAATGTCGTCTGCAGCCATGGAAACTTGGTTATACGCTTTAACCAGATTGATTCTCGGAAAAAACAGTTGTATCTTTCAAGGTAGCAGCCAAGTCGTGGGTGTGTCATACGAAGTGACAACCAGGAATGGCTTTAGTATTGATTATAAAACATCCGGCTGTCGGACGCCAATCCCTGCTGTCTTTCTTAAAGTAACATACACTAAGTTAGTTATGGGTGTTTGATAACTGCATAATCATCAAATCGATCATATGCCGACCGATATGCTTTCAGGAATATAGCTGGGTCTTTCGTCGTGATGTGGTGTGCAACATTCCTAATTACACTCAGTTGTTTCAGCCGTACTTTGTTTTACTTCGTGATACTTTACGAGTGTCCGTTGGACGTTTAGGTCGATTATATGCTTGACTAAGACTGAGCATAACTCACGACTAAAACGTAAAATCCTATAAACGCATAGTTTAGTTTTTTACACTAACATTCATTTGCCCTCTAAGTTCTGGTGATCTCTAGGATCCGGTCGAAGGATGTATTTTGCTCGCCAACAACGTAATTGTGAACCGAAATGAAAACCACTGGCACACTTTTTGGTAGCCTAAGTTGTCTAGAGAGGCCTTAGTTGAAAGTGCGTTGGACAGTTACCTCCCTCATACGTTGCAACACTTCTGTTGCTCGGCCATGTCTCATTTTTTGTGTTGTAAGAGAGTTGGTTTAACCCTCATCAATCGGATAGCCCTTCTACATTAAAATATCGTAGGGCTCCTAAACATCATTAATAAGTACACTAGATATAACGTGTCTTTTAAAGGCACTCAGCAGTGAAGGAATTGCTGCAAGGAATTGTGCGCGCGGTTTTATCACGCCGTGCTCGCGAACGTCAGCTCCTGCATAGCAAAACCAGGCCTCCATATTACTTGGCAAAAATGTAACGAGCTGAAGCGTGTGGGGTGTAAGATTTGAAACCTATGCCATCATGTAGATAGTGATAAAAGGAAGACGAAGTAGGTAGTTGTGATGACTAGGAGTATCTCAATTATTATGAAAACTAGGAATCCTAAAAATAACTCAGTTTAACCAAGAAGAACTAAATGAACATAGACGAATGTATCATATTGGGAATTTGAAATCAGGCAGTCATCAAGTACAATGGAATCATTAGTTCATGCGAACATCAAGGTAGGATAGATATTGAAGAAAACAATGAAAACAACACCAATAATAGATTTTTACTATCATTATTC